TGTAATAACTTAATGGTTTTTGAATGGGTTAAAATGTTTTAAATTGGCCTGAATTTTATGGGTGTTACAGTTGTAGTTTGTAAGTGCTTGTTGATGGCTTTTGTTGAAGTTACTTGAAAGAAATCAAGAACATGCACAAGTATGTATCCACTTGGAATCGACAAGTCAGATGTTTTTTTCTTTATGAAATGTTATGTGTGACCTTAAAATGGTATAAACAATGAAACATAAAAACAAGGGTACTTACTTTAATCCGTATACAATCATTTGATAAAAAAAAACTAATGCATTTTATTGTATAATGATGCTACTGAACATCAAGCTTTAATCCCAGCTTTTAGCAATAAGTTGGATGCTTTTATGTTTCATTAGTGGTTGGTTTATTTAAGCTTGTTTTTATCAATTTCTAGTTTTTTATTTGTGTACAATGAATAGAAATAACCTTATTTTGATATTCCTATTTAATTTGCCTATGTTTTTTCTTGTGGTAAATTTGGTATTACTCCTTATATTTGATCGGGAAAAAAATTATGCTACCTTTGCCGAAAATTTCTACTTCAACCCCAAATGAGTGAACACCGACATGTCCTTGTGATGAAAAACTCTAATAAGGACCATATTTGTAAATGGCCTCATTTATGGACCTGATAAAAAACAACTTAAACGCAAGGACCAAACTTGTAATTTAGTCTCTAAATGATATACATTCGTTTAAACAACACGCTACTATACCACACCACCGGGGGCACTGCCGCACTGGTGTCAAAACTCAAAACCCAAAACCCAATACCCTCTAAAGATCTCAATCAAACTAGGGCAATTCCCGCCTTTCTACCCTCTTGAAGCTTTTCTCTACGACTGCGCCGGAATCGGCAATGGTGTCAGCTAAGCAACTCCTCTCTACCATCGAGTCCACGCTCTTGGGCACCACTGCCCCTTCGGCTTCGCAGAGGATTGAGCTCATCCACGCTCTTCGTTCTTCTCTGTCCTCTCTCCAGTCTCTCTTGTCAATTTCGGTACCAATCCCTGTTTCAACTTATTGCATAAATATATTTGTTGTCGCATTTGTATTTTGATTGTAGCCTTGTTCGATTGACGCTCGTTTTGGCAACGGAGATATGCGTTAAGCTTACAACTTTAGAAAACTTGATATGGATTTTAAGCATTTGTGAGACAAAAATCGCTAATTACAGTGAGTTTATAACAAGTACCATGGACAGAAATTACTTAAACAGTAGACTGATTTAGTTAACCATGTAATTTACCGAGCTAAATCTTCATGAATACTGTATGTTTATTGATTCATATCAAGTTAGACTTGTAATTTGTATGTTTTCTTTGTTTGCTCACTAACTGTTATATAATATTTATTTTAAAAATTGTGTAGCCTCCAAAGCCTTCTGACAGAGCACAAGTTCAATCCAAAGAAGTTAGGCTTCCTGATTCAGGATCAATCCCACTTGACGATCAAGATGTTCATATTGTTAGTTCACATACTTCCAACTATTGCTCTCTTTTAACTTTCTTGTAGAAAAGAAAATTAACTTTTTTTCATCTCACCACTTTTAATTTAGGCTCTTAAGCTGAGTGATGATCTCCATCTCAATGAAATAGACTGTGTACAACTGCTTGTTTCTGCCAACCAAGAGGTAGACTTTCTCTTACCATCTATCCAGTCGGTGTTCTTTGAGTTGGATTCTCATATCTGAATGGTATAAAACTATAAATGCATCACTTTCATGTAGTGGGGATTACAAGGGCGAGCACCATTGGATATTCTAAGACTTGCAGGGGGACTTTGGTATACAGAGAGAAGAGATTTAATAACAGCACTTTATACGCTCTTACGGGTATCTTTTCATTTTCCATTTCATACCAAAATTACCCTTCTCACCTTTGAGTTGGACATTGTTCTTGCTATAGTATGAGTCATTATCTATGTGTTTACTTTTGCATTGTAGGCAATTGTGCTTGATCAAGGACTTGAGGCGGATCTTCAAGCTGACATTTTGAAATATGTTGAAGATCTAATTAATGGTGGGCTTCGACAACGGCTGATTACTCTTATAAAGGTATTTCTTTCTACCCTTTTGTTATTATTATTATCATCATATGTTGCACTTTGCCTATAGGTGTTTTGCACATTGCTTTAAGGATCCTTTTCCTCAATTTCATTGTTGAAACACTATGAGTTTCCTACACAAAGAGTAAATGATACTAAGAAGAAAAGCAGGCCAACTAAGCATACATACAATACAAATTATGCAGTTTTTTGAGGTTAAAATATGGATGAAACTTAAGATGTGTTAGATTCTTTATATTGACACTTTTGCACCTACCTCTACTTTTCCATTCACTCCACAATCTATGTATTCTTTATTTTGTTGCAAGAGTTTTATTAAACTAAAAGTACCCACAACCTAGAAAATAAAAGTATGATAATTGAAAAGGAACATTTTATTATTGTATGGACTTTCAACATTTTAGAGTTTGATTTAGATTGATCAAAATTCATCATTACAAATGACAATTATCTATGAATCACAATGTTTGTGTTTGCACTTTTAGGAACTTAATCGAGAAGAGCCAGCTGGAGTTGGTGGGCCCAATTCAGAGCGTTATATTCTTGACTCACGAGGTGCTCTTGTGGAAAGGAGAGCTGTTGTTTGTAGGGAAAGACTTATTCTTGGACACTGTCTTGTTTTATCCCTTTTGGTTGTACGTGCAAGTAAGCTATTTGACAATACTTTCTAGTTTCTACTCTTTTGATTCCTTCTTATTTTTTCTTATGCTTTAAATCTTTAATTGTTTCACCTAAAAGAACATGTTTTATAATTGTTTAAGTGCTTTCTTTTCAGGCCCAAAAGATGTAAAAGATATCTTTTCAACTTTGAAAGATAATGCAGGGGATATCGGTGGAAGTACTGACATTGTAAAGAACCAGGTATACTTTTTGTTTAATTTCCATCACTTTATTTTTTACCTATCAACTCACTGACCTTTTATCTTTTTCTTTTGTAGATCGCGTATAGCCTTCTTTTTTCTCTTATAATTTCTTTGATATCAGATGCTCTCAGTGCATCACCAGAGAGAATGTCTATCTTGTCACAGGATGCTTCATTTAAGCATGATTTCCATGAAACTGTAAGCACAAATGACAAAACCTATTTGTTCTTTACTCAATAAATTGGATCTTTTTAAACACGTTGTGTTTCTTCAATAGGTTATGGCTATTGGTAATAATCAGATGATTGAGGGGTGTATGCACTGTGTTAGACTTGCATGGGCTGTGCACTTGATGATTATACTAGATGTTACTGATGCAAGAGAGACAAATAATGATGTGAGAAACATTATTTCTTGTTTGGAACTTGTTTTCTCAAACAATGCTTTCCAGTTTTTGCTCAACTCAGTGCTTCGAACACCAGCTTATCAGGTTTGTTTTTGTGTTAAATGTTAGGTTTCATATATTCTATTTATTTAGTTCTTTATGAATGTAAGTTGATGTGATTATATGTTTACAGAATGATGATGAGGATATGATCTACATGTATAACGCATACTTGCACAAGTTGATAACATCCTTTCTCTCTCACCCACTTGCTAGAGACAAGGTTACTCATGTCTTTTTGCTTTTGTTTTGTATCAACCATGTATTTACAATTCTGCCCTTTGAAATGATAAACACAATTGCTAGGTGAAAGAAACAAAGGAGAAGGCTATGACTGCTCTTAGTCCATACAAAATATCTGGTTCATATGATTATGTTCTTGATGGCAACATGCCACCTCAGCAAGTTTCCGAATCTGCCCCTCAAACTTTTGTTTCTCTCCTGGAGTTTGTTAGTGAAGTCTATGAGGTCTATATACTTTCCCATTTAAAATTTCACATGAATAGATTCATACATCATCTGTATTGAATTATTGATGCACTTTTTAATGTTTAACACAGAAAGAACCTGAACTTTTATCTGGGAATGATGTTTTATGGACATTTGTAACGTTTGCTGGAGAGGATCACACTAATTTCCAGACACTTGTGGCATTCTTGAAAATGCTTAGTACACTGGTGGGTATATTTGTAATTTAGCATCTTTTAACATTGTCAGATATATTTGACTTGTCAACTTTCAGGCTTCAAGTGAAGAGGGTGCTTCAAAAGTTTATGAATTACTACAAGGAAGAACATTCCGCTCCATTTCATGGGCCACTTTATTTGATTGTTTATCAATTTATGAAGAGAAATTCAAACAATCACTTCAAAATTCAGGGCTGATATTACCAGAGTTTCAAGAAGGAGATGCAAAAGCACTTGTTGCTTATCTGTGTGTTCTTCGCAAGGTTATGGAAAATGGAAACCCTATTGAAAGAAAGACATGGTTTCCTGATATTGAGCCATTATTTAAACTTCTAAGTTACGAAAATGTCCCTCCTTATCTCAAGGTAAAAAATGAAGTATATTGCTTATATTTCTTGTTAGAGTAAAGTATAATTTGATCTTTCACCAATTTTAACATGTTTTTTTTTTGAATTGTAGGGTGCTTTGCGTGATTCGATATCAACTTTTATTCATATTTCACCAAATTTGAAAGATACTGTTTGGGGGTTTCTTGAGCAATATGATTTACCTGTAGTTGTTGCACCTCAAATTGCACATGGTAGTAACAGTAGTACACAGATAATGACTTCTCAGGTTTATGATATGAGATTTGAGTTGAATGAAGTGGAAGCAAGAAGTGAGCATTATCCATCAACAATCTCATTCCTTAATCTGTTAAATGCTCTTATTGCTGAAGAAAGGGATGCAACTGATAGGGGACGTAGGTAATGATTTAAACACTAGAGTAAATTACAAAAATGGCCCCTGAGTTTAGCTGATATTTTCAATTTTGGTTCTAACAAGTTCTCTTTTGCAATTTTTTTTTCTCTTTATTTGTGGGTTTTGTAACGTTTTGGTCCATGTTCCAAGTAAATTAATTATATTACCCTTTTCAGATTCTTTCTCTAAATGTCTGTTATTTAATTTGAATTCAAGTAATTACTAGATAGAGGGTAGTATAGTCATTTACTTGGAACAAGGACTAAAACAACCATAACGGTTACAAAAACCTCAAATAAGAACCAAAATTGCAAGTGAAATTTTTTTGGGACCAAAGTTGCAAAAATTCAGGGACCAAAAAATAATTATTAGATAAAGGGCGGTTTAGTCATTTTACTTATTTGGCAGGTTTATAGGCATCTTCCGGTTCATATATGATCATGTGTTTGGGCCATTTCCACAAAGGGCATATGCAGATCCTTCTGAGAAATGGCAATTAGTTGTTGCATGTCTCCAACATTTTCAGATGTAAGTTGATGTTTTTAGTTGAATTCAAGTTTTTCTACAAATAAAATATTGCTGATGTTCACATTTTCTTTATATAAATGCAGGATATTGAGTATGTATGACATAAAAGATGAAGATATTGACATTGTAGCCACTCAATCTCAGCTTGTAACACCACAATCAACTCCACTCCAGATGCAACTTCCTGTAATAGAATTACTCAAGGTAAACTAATTTATATAATCCTTGTTACCCTTTAAATTAAATTATAATACACTTTAACACTTCTTTAATGATTTCAGGACTTTATGAGTGGAAAAACCGTATTTCGAAATGTTATGGGCATTCTTTTACCTGGAGTGGATTCCATAATTGCTGATCGAACCAATCAGACATATGGTTTGCTTCTAGAAAAATCAGTTCTTCTATCTCTTGAAATCATAATCCTTGTTTTGGAAAAAGATTCATCAGTTTCTGATTTTTGGAGACCCCTTTACCAGGTCATTATACAATTTTTTTTTTTTTTTTTTTTTAAAAAAAAGAATCACTTATTATCATTTTTCTTATTGTTTTACTTATAGTTATATGTAATTGTTGGTTGTTCTTGTTCATGTGTAGCCTTTTGATGTTATACTTTCTCAAGATCATAATCAGATTGTAGCTTTATTGGAATACATCAGATATGATTTTCACCCACAAATTCAACAACGCTCCATAAAAATAATGAGCATCTTAAGGTACCCTTTTCCCTATTTTGACATCTTTTAATTTAGATTTTCTTTTTTTGTTGATCTAATTTGGCATGTTTTTTTGCATTCAGTTCTCGCATGGTTGGGCTTGTACCTTTACTACTGAAATCAAACTCTTCTGGTCTTCTTGTTGAAGATTATGCTGCTTGCTTGGAGCTAAGATCTGAAGGATGTCAGATCATAGAAAACACATCTGATGATCCTGGTGTCCTTATTTTGCAAGTAAGTTTTTTTTTTTTTAGAATTCGAATCAGTTTATTTTCTTTTTTTTTTTCTGTTGAAATTTATATATAATATATATCTTTCTTTCTTCACATTGCAGCTTTTAATTGATAACATTAGTCGCCCAGCTCCTAACATAACACATTTCCTTCTGAGATTTGATCTTGATTCACCTGTAGAGAGGACAGTGTTACAACCAAAGTTTAACTACAGGTACCCTTTTAGTTATTTGCATTGGTTTCAGGTTCAGCTTCTTTAAATTTGGATTTATTTTTGTTATGTATCAGTTGTTTGAAGGTTATTCTTGATATTCTGGAAATGCTACCAAAGCCTGATGTCAATGCAATGCTTCATGAATTTGGATTCCAGGTTTGTATTCTCAACAAATCTCAGATTTCTTAGTTTCTGTTTTTTTTTTTTTTTTTTTTTTTTTTTTTTTTGGTGATTTTTAAGGACAAGTTTTATGTTCTACTACAGCTGCTTTATGAATTATGTTCGGATCCTCTTACATGTGGGCCCACCATTGATCTGCTTAGTACCAAAAAGTATCAATTTTTTGTCAAGGTACAAAATTCTTGTACTATATTTCCATTGATAGTACCAAAATGTCTGATTTACCCCTGGTATCACAACAGCATCTGGATAACATTGGTATTGCACCACTACCAAAAAGAAACAACACTCAGCCACTTCGAATTAGCTCTCTTCATCAGGTAACGTAACGTTTGACATTTTATCATTAAATTAAACATTTATTTTGACTTAATGTCTTGACTTGAATATAACTTTTTTTTTCTTTGATTTAGAGAGCTTGGCTTTTGAAGCTTTTAGCCTTGGAATTACATGTTGGGAATGTGACTACTTCCAATCATCGAGAAGTGTGTCAAAACATTGTTGCTCATCTGTTTGGAGAAAGTGAATATGATATTGATCATAATATTCTTCATATTACTCTTGAAGATCCTGCAAACAGAGCCATTGGTAGGAGCAAGGTATGTTTTTTTTTTCTTGATGTTATATTTTAATTATAATAATAATGTTTCTACTTTGTAATAATATTTATTTATTATGCAGGTGTTAGAATTGCTTGAAATAATCCAGTTTAGGTCTCCAGATACAACAATGAAGCATTCTGAGTTTCTTTCTCACACAAAATTTGGACCAGTGGTACAATCCAACTTTTACTTTTTACACCCAAAACATATTTTTATTATAAAAAAATCATGAATATTTGAAGAAATTCTTTTTTTTTTGTAGGCTGATGATATACTTGGGAATCCATCAACTTATGAAAAGGGAGGTGTGTATTACTACTCTGAACGAGGGGATCGATTGATTGACCTAAATGCATTTCGTGACACCCTTTGGCAGGTGTTATATAATTTTTCATCATTAAATTTTCTTGGACCATATTACCCTTCTTACGCTAATTGATTTTGTGGCTTATTTTCTTCTTCAGAAGTGCAATTTTGAGAATCCACAGCTGAGTACTTTTGGGAGTGAAGCTGAACTTGAAGAAGTAAGAAATACTGTTCAGCAGCTTCTCAGATGGGCATGGAAACACAACAAGAACCTTGAAGAACAAGCTGCTCAACTCCATATGTTAACTGGATGGGCACAAATTGTTGAGGTAAATGCAAGAAATAGCAATCTACTTTCATTTCTTTCTTTTACATCATTATACTTCCAAATTTCTTCTTTAAAAAAAAATACCCAATTATGATATTGAAAATTGACTTGTATTTAACCCTAATCTAAATCAATGCTGTCTGTATCTGTGTCATCTTTATCAGATTTCAGCTTCAAGAAGGTTATCCTCAATGGAAAATCGATCAGAAATATTATTTCAGTGCGTTTTTTCACTTTCTCTCTACCCCTGATATTTTTATAATATATTTTTGTTAACAGTTTTTGTCTTTGGCAACAGGTTGCTTGATGCATCTTTAAATGCTTCTAGCTCTCCAGATTGTTCGTTAAAGATGGCAGGAATGTTAACTCAGGTAATAAAAATTAATATTTTTTTATAATTTGCTGTTGAGTTGTTAAATGATTTTTTTTTTTTTTTTTTAATATGAAGGTTTCAATTACATGCATGGCTAAATTACGGGATGAGAGGTTTATTAACCCAAGTGTGTTGAACTCGGATACTGTGACATGTCTTGATGTTATTATGACAAGGCGAATGTCAAATGGTGCATGTCATTCTATCCTCTATAAGATTATGATGGCAATTCTCAAACATGACACATCAGAAGCATTGAGGAGAAGGTAACTATGGTTACAATTGGAAATTCACAATAATCTTTTTTTTTTTGGTATATAATGCCTGATGATGAGTCTTGTTTATATGATTAAATTTTAGGCAATACACTTTGCTTTTAAGCTACTTCCAATATTGTCAACACATACTGGATCCAGATGTTCCTACTACTGTTCTTCAATCTTTGTTAGTGGAAGAAGAAGAAAGTGGAGATTTGGATCTTGAAAAGGTGACAACTTTCTAAATCTATGATTTCTTCAGATTCTAATTCCTTTAAAATACTAACTTTTACTTTTGGGTTCAGATTGACCAGGATCAGGCTGAGCTGGCACGTGCAAACATATCTATCCTAAGAAAAGAAGCTCAATCAATTCTAGATTTGGTATATTCCATGTTGTTGTATATTGTTATTATTATATTATTACAATAGCAGTAATTATTATTATTATTTTTAAAGGCCATAAAAGATGCAACTCAAGGCAGTGAGTCAGGAAAAATAATGGCTTTCTTTGTTCTGGATGCATTAATATGCATTGATCATGAAAAGTTTTTCTTAAGTCAACTTCAAAGCAGAGGCTTTTTGAGGTCTTCTCTCATGAGTATCAGCAGTGTTTCATATCAGGTTTCTATTCTATCTCCCTCAGTTATATATATTCTTTTCATTAAATTAATATAATCTTTTAATTTTTAAATTTATTTTTTATCATTATAAAGGATAGCACACATTCCATAGATCCATTACAAAGACTGTGTGCTCTTGAGGCACACCTTGCTTTACTATTAAGAATCAGCTACAAATATGGTAAAGCTGGAGCTCAGATTCTTTTCACCATGGGTGCATTTGAGCATATTGCATCATGCTTGCTACACAACATGCAGATCAAGGTCAGTTTCGTGATTTTCTTATTATATAAGTTAAATCCAAACTAAAAAATAAAAAAAAAATCCCACAGGGGAACAGCATAAGACGTTTTGACACTAGTTTTGGGAAAGATTCCTTTGCTGATGTTCATAGACAAAGAATGGTTGTTTCTCCATTACTGAGATTGGTTTTCTCTTTGACCTCATTGGTTGAAACATCTGACTTTTTCGAGGTAAGCTTCTTTTTTTTTATTTTTATTTTTATTTTCTATACAATTCTTGATATTTGGTATTTGATTATTTAAATGGTTTTATAGGTGAAGAATAAAATTGTTCGTGAAGTAGTGGATTTTGTGAAAGGTCATCAGTTACTTTTTGATCAAGTTCTTCGCCAAGATGTTTCTGATGCTGATGAATTGGCAATGGAACAAATGAATCTTGTTGTTGGCATACTCAGCAAGGTTTTCAATTTTTCCACTTTTCCTTTACGTATTATTAACTCTTTATGGAGCCTCAACCTTTTGTCTTTTTTACCCTTTAGGTTTGGCCATATGAGGAAGGTGGAGAGTATGGATTTGTTCAAGGCCTTTTTGGATTAATGCACACTCTTTTTTCACGTGACTCATCGTTTCTTTCTTCAGCTCAATCAGTAAGTTATAATTTATAATCAAGCATATTATTAAATTATCAATTAAATATAAACTTTCACTAGCAATCATTTTTTTTTTTTTAAAATATTTATCTTCTCTTCATGAAGGATTTTCAGAAACAGAAGAAATCAGAATTGAGTGTGTTACGTCTGTGCTTTAGCCTGAGCTCTTATCTCTATTTCCTTGTCAAAAAGAAATCCTTGAGACTTCAGGTTTGTATATAATATATTTTTTTTCACCAATTTTTTTTTTAATCATGTGCATCTCTTAAACTACAATTGTGTAACCAGGTTTCCAACAATTCGACCAATTATAATGCGCCAGCTGGACAGCAGCAACCGACATTAAGCCTACTTGGTTTTCTTCTCAACACGGTGACCACAGCCCTTGAAAATGCTGCAGAAGAAAAATTTATATTACTTAACAAGGTAACTAACTATTTTAATATTTGAATATTTGATTTATATTTTATTGCCACGTCAGCAAACAGCTGGATTTGATTCCTTTTGTGATTCAGATTCAAGACATAAATGAATTAGCACGACAAGAGGTGGATGAAATTATTAACATGTGTGCTCTTGAAGGTCAAGTTGCATCCTCAGACAATATTCAGAAAAGGTGCTTTGAAATATTATAGCATTGTACTTTTCATTTTCCTTTTTCTTATTAAGGCATTATATTATATAAACAAATAAGTAAAAGTAGGTTGCTATTTCTTGCATTTAACACTTAATTTTGCAGGAGATATGTTGCAATGGTGGAAATGTGCAGGGTAGCAGGAAACAGGGATCGGCTTATAACTCTTGTGCTTCTACTTGCAGAAAACTTGCTCAACATTTTCCTCATCCATTTTCAAAACAGGTATTTATTCTTTCATATTTTGATAATAAAATAGTGAAAATACATTGTGTTTATTTTTGAATCTTGTACTTATTATAATAAAATATTTAGTTGATGTGACAAGATTTGACTCTTTCTTTCGTTGTAGCTCTTTATCTGATTCCAGTGAAGCTGTTAAGGCACTTACGTATGGAGACGTTGGAGAAGACCTAAATACATTTTGTTCAAAACTGGTTCCAATTTTAGAAAGACTTGAAGTGCTAAGAGAGGTATTTATTTTTAGTATTATTATTATTGTTACTTGGGATAATTAATTTTACAATAATGCTAATAAATAAATAAATGGTGGTTGTTTGTGAAGGATAAGGTGGGTCATAACCTGAAGGTGTTCCAGAGATTAGTTACTTCTCTCAAGGAATTGACGATTCAAAGATTAGCATTCTGAGAAGGGATGATTTTCCTTTTATGCCCTTGGGATGGTGCTTGAATTATTGTATCTGTATGGCATATTAGGATGTATTAAGAAAGCTGTATGTGATTGATTGTGTGGTGAAAAATGGTGTCATTTTTGTCAAGTTAGGTGGATATAAGTTTAGGTTCTTGAAAAGTAATATTATATAGCACCAATGCATTTTTCAATTGTCACTTCATTTCTAAGGTTGCAACCTAAAGAATTATATATATATATATATATATATATATATATATATATATATATATATATATATATATATATATAGGGGAA